TATTTTCAAAAATACTCTGTAGATATGCAATCTTATACAGTAAACAAAGTCATATACTTTGTTTATTTTTTAGTTTATAATATGACCTTGATACTACAGATTTTAAATTTTTAAGATAGACTTTATATTAGAAAAAGAATTATTTAAGATAGGTTATAAGTTGTATAACTTAAAATTTTTAAGTCTAACTCAGGTTATATAATATTTGGTTATATTTTTCTTCTGTTTTCTATTTTATATTAGCTTTCTTTACTTATAACAGGTTTTTTCTAGTATAGACTTTGTTATAGACTATAACTACTTAGGTATATATAATTTTTATCTTTTTATATCTTGAGACTAGGTACTAATTTCTCTTTACTTAGTTTTGACTAAATAAAAAAGGACTTAGAATTTTGATATATAGCTAGAAATCATCTTTGCTAACTAAATTCTAGGAGTTTGTAGATATAAACTAAGATTTTTATAAGAAAATATTCTCTATAGTAGATTAAACTTGGATAACTTTAAGATAGCTAAATTAGTCTAAAATAGTTTAAGGTAAACAAATAAATATAAAAATATATTATAAGATGAACAAATAAATATAAAAATATATTAGATTGTTTTATAGCTTTTTGTTAAGCCTTCTCTTAATAAAATGATGAGAAAGATTACTCAAAATAAAAAATATATATACTGTAGTTCTCTTATCAAAGCTAAAATATATATTATCAAATATAATAATTGATAAAAAGAAGTATGATAAAATATATTAGCCTTTCTAAAATTACTTAAACAAAAAGTAGAATTACTATTAATATATACAAATATAATAATTTTGTATAAAGAAATTATGAGTTTATAGCAAATATATATAGATTATTATATATTAGAATTATCTAAATAAATTCAAATAGCTTACTAGATAATACAACTATTATATACTTGATGCAATACTATCTAGATACAAATTTAGTAGAGTATATCTTGATATCAAAATATAACAGATAGAAAAAAGCTAATAGCAGAAACCTAGAAGCTAAAGTGTTGCAACTTACTAAAAAAATAAGATATATAGTTTCTAAGAGTATTGTATCAAAAAGCTAGAATATTATAAAGTTATACAAAAAAGAAGATTTGTTAATTAAAAATATATTTATATAAGTATATAAAGAAAGTAATAATAGTTTAAAGTACTAAAAAGAAAAAGATATGTTGAAAAAAAGCAAAATAGTTCTCATTACTAGAATCAGAAGTAATAAAAGATATATGTATAAAAAGAATTAAAAAGAAGTTTAAAGAAGAAAAAAGCTTTCAAATTAAACAGAAGAAATAAAAAGTATTTATAGATAAAAGAAAAAGAGAGTAAATTATATTTGAAGCAAATACAAAACCAAAGATAGAAATAGAATATATTATAAGAAAGAAGAAAAAAAATAATAGAAGTAGAAATATAAGAAGAAGACAAAGAGAATGAAGAGCAATGTAGAGAAAAATATATAGAAAATTTTAGATTAAAGAAAAAAGAAAATAGCAAAATATATATAGTGTTAATAGAGACATATGATATCTTAAACTTAATTAGAAAAAAAAATGAACTATATATAGTTGCAAGTAAAGTAGTACTACTTAAAGCAGATTATCAAAAAAGAAAGTAGTAAATGTATAGAGTTTGAGAAGATAAGAGGTCTCAAAAGAATCTAAATAAAAGATAGCTAGGGTATATAGCTAATAAACTAAATAATCAAAGGAAAAAATATATAAACAGAATTAAAAAAGAATTTTATAAAAAATATAAGATGAAAAAAATTATTATATATACTAACAAGTTATTACAAAGAGAAGATATATAGTAAAGAATAGAATATAGTATAGTATAGAAGATAAACAGAATAGTGTAGTATATAATCACAAGAGTTGAATAGAAAAATAGTTCTTATTAACTCAAATAGAGTTAGCAGTATATCTAGTAGTAGTCTTAATAGTATCAAATGAGTATATAGTAGAAATTCGTACAGATAGTATATGTTCAATAGCAGCTATATTAGAAAGTTTTAAAAATAAAAACACAAGATATTAGTTAAAAAGTAAAAACAATAGTATTCTATAAGTAATAGTTAAGGCTTGTAAAAACAAAAGTCTGCAATTAGAATTGTCAAAAATTAAAGACTACTTAGAAAATTTATATAATAATATTGTAGATTAACTTATAAAAGAAGATGCAAGAGAAGATCTGATACTTAAAATTAATAATATTAGTATTAAAAATATTAAGTTTCTTTTAGAATAGAAAGCTACAAACTTGATATACTACTTAGAGCCTTTATAAAAAAATAATTCAAATAATGTATAAGGCAGAATAAACTTGAATTAGAAAGAAAAAAATGAAAAGCATCAAGATTATCTTAAGAACAAGGATTAGAAAGCTTTTAAAAGAAGGTTTGGCGATCTTAGTATAGTAGTTATGTTGCCAGACTGCTATACAAGAGGTCTGGGATTCAAATCCCACTATTATAAATTTGAATAATTACCTAGACCTTTGTACCTAACTTATAGTAAACCTATTTGTTTCTAGAGTTATAACCCTGTAAATTATATTGCACCAATATCATTTAGATATTGAAAGTATAATGAGGCATTTGGCAAGATATAATATTACAAGAATAAATCTTGATAGGATCTATAGACAGAGGACCTGTATAGTAGAAATCCTGAGTTGGTGAAGTAGTATAGCCTTTAATAGTTATACTAGCTAATGCTTGATCCAAAAAGAAAACTATTATCAAAAGATGCAGATCGAGTCAGGTACATATAAATCTATTTCACAGGGAGGATCAGTAACACCAACCTGGCTTGGCAGCAAACTAGATTAGGAGAATTTGCCTCATAAAATATCTAAAAAAATAGAATACAGAAAACTAGTAGAGAGCTACAGTAGGAACTGGGGTTGTACAAACATTAATAAGGGTCTAAGCTAGGTGAATCTATAAAATAGATATAGACCACTCTAGTAGATATACTTTGAGATTAACTAGCTCTGTGATATCTACAATATACTAGATACAATATATCACAAGAAGATCTAAGCCATTCTAAATAAATGAATTTGTAACGAGCTAGCTAGCTTAAGTAGTTAAATATTGTAGTGACATTAGGTTGAATCTGTAAAGGTTAATAAACAGAGTATTTAAATAGATAACTCATAGGCAGGTTATAGGTATGGCAGCATAGTATAGAGCTAATCAGGTAGTCTAATCACTTGTGCAGCAGACTCCTTAAAATAGATAATGACTAAAGTTATATGTATAGCTTATTGTATACTCTTCATATAATTACAAACAGTAGAAATTATCAATATATAATCCTGTTGACAATTCTAATAAAATTCCTTCAGCAATGTAAGCTACCTTAATAACAAAAAAAAAAAATAAAAGTACTAATAATCGATAAATAGCTTGTAGTCTACTCTTCAATGATAGAACATATTTTATTAAACTTCTAGTTTTTTTAGTCTTACTTATATATATTATGTTAGAAAATAGAGTATTATTATATATATAAAAGTTTTTACTTTTTATTATCATTTTGGTTTTAGAGATTGTCAGGAAGAGTTGGAATTATAAGAGTTAAATAGATAGTCTTATATTATTATAATTGTATTGTAAATAAAGAATACTCTTTACTTTAATATAATCTTTCTAACGAATAACTTTTGCAAAGTAATATCTTACTTTGACATCATTGAGAGTTTATTTTCTATATTTTATATTACTTGTGATATATTAAGAAGGCTATATCACTTCTAATATTTTAGTGCCTTCTAGCAGAAAACTAAAAGAATTTTTTAAATATTTAGTATTTTTAAGAAAGAAAACTCTAAGGAACTTTTAACTAAGAAACCCTTAAGAAACCTTTTTTGCAAAACAAAGAAGCCTCTTTTTTTCTTCTCTGATAATCTCTAAGAAGCTTCTCTTCTTCTTTTGCTAATTTTAATCTATGTTATACTTAATCTATATTATATAATTATTGAAAAAAATCTTCAACTCCTAGAATAGATCTAAATTATATAGGAACATAAAAAATAACTTATATTATTTTAAGCTTAGGAAGACTAAATTCATATTATATAAACTTTGAAAAGTTATATTTAGACTTAGAAGACTTTCTATTTATAACTGCCTATTACTAAGAGAATAATAGTATACTAGAAAACAATACTACTAGATAGACTTAGTAGAAAGGACTACTTGTAAGCTTCTATATTAGTTGTACTTCTAGGGTTAGACTCCTAGTTATAGATTGTTTTTGGATTAAACCCTATTCTATAATAAGTATCTCACAAGTAAATCAAATAAACATAAGAATTCAACTATAGTTAGTAGCTTACTACAAACTTTATCAATACTAGTTAAATGCAAATTACTCATGAGCCAAATAAGTAGGCATACAAGAGATTACTATATACACTTTATTAAGCTAAAGTTTAATAATATTATAATTTAAACTTCTTTATTATATCGAATTTTTATTATATCAAGATTTTACTATAATGAGAGTAATTTACATATAAATTAGTTATATAAACAACTTATTACGATTATAAATATTTAAAATATTTTTAATAAATTTTAAAAACCTATTTAGAAGTACTATATTTATAACTTAAATTTTTACAAAAAACTAACTTATTTAGATAGCATTTAGATTATAAAAAACAACTAATTAATTTTATATATTTGTTATAATTCAAGTTACTCTTATTATAGTAAACTCTCAATATAATAAAAATTTGATATAATAAAGAATTTAAATTATTAATTTTTTTTACTTTTTATTTAATTAATTATTTTTAATACTTTTTTTAATAATAATTTTTTTTTTTATATTACTTTATTTTTTTATAGGTCAGATAATTTGTTTGCTTATTTTTAATATATTTTTAAAGTTATATAATAAAAATGCATATTATTATTAATAAAAATCTTTGCTTAGAGCTATTATAAATAAATTTTAATTTTATCTGACCTATATACTAATAACTTGGGGTCCTGAAAAGGCAGCTAAATTGAAAGATAAAGAGCGAGAAATTGAAAATCTAAAGGAAGAAGCAGCTAAATTGAAAGCTAAAGAACGAGAAATTGCAAAATTAAAAGAAGTAGTTAAATTACAAGATAGAGAACAAGAAATTAAAAATCTGAAGGAAGAAGCAGCTAAATTAAAAGATAAAGAATGAGAATTTGCAAAATTAAAGGAAGAAGCAGCTAAATTACAAGATAAAGAAACAAGAAATTGAAAAACTAAAGGAAGAAACAGCTAAATTGAAAGATAAAGAACAAGCGATTTAAAACCTAAAGGACGAAGCAGCTAAATTGAAACAAGAAATTAAAAAACTAAAGGAAGAAGTAGCTAAATTACAAGATAAAGAACAAGAAATTGAAAAACCAAAGGAAGAAGCAACTAAATTTGAACAAGAATTTGAAAAATTAAAGGAGGAAGCAACTAAATTAGATAATAAAAAGGATAAATTAAACGATGAAAGAGATCAATTGAAAACAGAGATAAATGGCTTACAAGAAGAAAAGAAACAATTAATTAAAGACTTGAGATCTTTAACCAAGAAATTGAAAAATTGAAAACCATTTTAGCTGATTTGGAAGAAAAAAGAAAAAAATTAGAGTCGACTGTAGTTGAACAATTAGATCGTGAAAAATTGTGAAAGGAAGTCTAATCAAAGAAAAAAAGAAATTGATAAAAATTAAGAATAATAGAGTCGGAAAATTTGAGGATGAGATAAAAAATATAGAAAATAAAAAAAAGAGTTAGAACAAAATAAAAAAAGATTAAGTTAAAGAATATCGAAAATATGATTGGTTTAAAGATGAAAAATATAGAAAGAAATTCAAAGAAGAGCTATCAAAAGTTAAAGAAGAAACTGAATTACTGGAAGAATAAACTAAGAAAAACGAATCTTCAGATGCTCTTGAAAAAGGTTTACGCGATGATAAAGAAAAAATCAGTAAAATAGAAAAGATTTAAAGAAAAAAAATTTTTAATTAATGAACTTCAAGAAGAACTTAGTAAACAAGAAAAAAACAAGATCTATCTATAGAAAAGTGATTTGGAAAAATTAATCAATTTAACTAAATTTTAAGTTAGTGAGAAAAATTTGAAAGGATATTTAGATATGTTAGATATTCCAAATGAAAAAACGAAACAAATAGCGAAAGAAAATTTTTTAAAGAATTGAATGAAAATGAATTAGATGCAATTCTATATGGTCCAACAAGAATTAAAGAAATCGATCAAAAATTATCTAAATGTAAGTATTACTGTACGAAATAATTGATTTATGTCTAAAAAAAAATATATATATATATTAACATTAATTCGTCTATTAAAGTAGGTGAAAAGTGAAGCTATTAAATAATTTAGATATCGTATAGATAAACGGTAGTAGCATATTCTATTTTTATAATATCATATTTATAAATATAAATTGGTGTTTTTATATGCTGAAATATGTCTACAATACTTTGGAATAATCATATAAGCTCGCAACTTTCTCTAATTTTTCCTTGATTTTGTTGTGCCGAAATTTGGTTCTTAATTCGTTCGGCCTACTACTTTCTAAATTCAGATTTTTATAATATAACAATAAACAAAAAAATTATTACCATACCACAACACTTTTTTTTTTTTTACTTTACGTGCTGTACGCGAAAAAATTCTGATATTCATATAAATGGCACGTTTCACAATACCAAAATTTCAACTTAATACATCATTATATCGTTACAACTGGTTAAAATGCAACACATAATGTACGCGTAGTAAACGCCTTATGGCGTCCCGAGTATAACTGCGGGTTAAGAGGAAAAAAAAAAAAAATGTACGCGTAGTTTAGATTGAATGCATGATGTTTCATATTCCATAAGTCGAGATTCAAATTAGGAATAAAGGAAAGACGAATCATTATTTCTATAGTACTTTATTACGAGATGCGAGAGTTTTTATTAAAGTGAACTTGGCAATTCAAAAAATCAAGGGGTAACATTAATGAAAGTGTTCATATAAACTATTCATTAATCAAGCAATTATACCGTTTATAATGGAAATCCAAGTAGTCTTTGAACATATGGTAATCTAAATACTACATTTTGTACCGCGCTAAAAGTAGCAGATGTAAGCCAATATACGCATATTGCCTAGAGAGCATAATTCAGTTTGTTATATATACATGTATAAATCTACAAATAAAAGTCATAACTAACCGTTGGAGCTTGGGAGCAAACCGGTACCATTACTAGACATAAAACTCGCCCGATATTTTTAATAATCTTTTGTTTTGTGGTAGGCGTTCCTTTAGAAATCCATGTTTGAAACTATCATTAAATCATACAATATTAATAAATAATAAATAAATGAAAAAAAAATAATATATATTTATAATATACTTCAATATTAAATAGGTTCGTAATTCCAACAGCCAAAGGAAAGAACCAAGTTGAATCTGTAATAGTCAAGTCGGGAAACCAAAATACGCCACCATTGGTGAAGTCATCAAATTTTTCTGCATTTATTGCGATGGATTCGACATTTTCGTAATTACTGGCATTATCCTCTTTTTTGCGATTAGCAGAGTTAATCATTTCGCGCAAAGTAAAAGACATACAAATGAATAAGGGAATTTGATACCATGGCATTAGATAACTTTTTATCGGATGCCATCCAATTTCTTGATATATTTCTTTAACCTTTACTGTAACCTTAAACAAAAAATAAAATAAAATAAAATAAATGGACATTTTTAATTTGTGCCAGTGGTTAATGTTAACCGATGCTATATAAAATCATAAATATCTCAAAATTTTATTATGATAACTGGCATTTGGCTTCTAAATAAAAAATTCCAGCTCACAATTTTACATATATACCTATATCACTAACCTAACCCTAACCTCTAACTTTTTAACGCTATTTTTTTAAAAAATAATTTATGATTGACTATTTTTTTTTTTTTTTTTAAACAATTAATGGTTAACGTTAACCACTGGCATAAAGTATAATAATTCAAAATAAATAACCAAAATTGTTTGCAATATATACCTCTTTCTGTAATGCTGCCTGAAACTCCTCGTAACTACGCTTTTCCATTCTCGATTTTCTTGCAACTTTATGTTTTAATTTTTCGATCCATGAATTTATTAAAGGTTGAGCTTTTAATAGTCGAGAGTAGCTTTTTTGTTGATATATTGCAACTGGTAGAGTAAATGCTGAACGAAGAATTATTGTCGTGAATATTATGGTTGCCCACCATGGTAAACCAGTGTTCTCATGTATGAATTCAAGAATCAATTGATTTGCTGTCAAAAAAATATTCGGTTCATCTGTTGTTATTGGAATCTCATTTGTATGAATATTATCAGGATTGTAATTATTAGGCGAATCCACTTTATTTAAATGAAAAGGCGAAATACGAAATCCCCTGGAGAAAGATGAAACCCCTAGCGAAAGACCAAACCTTTGGCGAAGGACGAAACCCCTGGCGAAAGGCGAAACCTTTGGCGAAAGAGAAGCCCCTGAAACCCTAATAAAAGATGAAGCTCTCAGAGGGATAGAATAAAGAGCTAAGTTGGTAAACGAACCCATTTTTCTATGATGTCTGATATGTTTATCGTGTTGTTAAACATTAATTTGTAAAAAATTATTTTGGATAACGAATCTGAAAATTATGAATATTTTTCGATATCGATATCAGTCGATCTCGATTTTCATAGTAAATTGCAACGGTAGGCCATTTTTAAGCATACCGAAAATGTGTACAAGGTTCCGATCCGGATGACCACGTGATAGTCCGGATAGTTATTCCAGATCATTAAATATATCGATGATAACGACAATGATTTATTAAAAAGACGGATTTTTTTTGTTTTTTACTATTATCATATTATAATAAGCATAGGTGAAGATCTTTATGATTGGCTAATAAATTTTAGAAAACAGTCACCAAAATTTAGGGATTATGATCACGT